GTGAACATTGTTTTCTTTCCTGATGCTTTTGATTGTACGTACAGAGTATGAGTCGCACATAGATACACTTGCGTTGTTTACAAGAGGGCACATATTGGATTTTGAGCACGCATGAGCTATTGGAGGTGCGTAATCTAACATTTTGAGTTTGTCATGATAGAGTATTGGATTTTGAGCACGCATGAGCTATTGGAGGTGCGTAATCTAACATTTTGAGTTTGTCATGATAGAGAGTAATGTTTATTTCATATTACGATACTTGGAGGTGCGTAATCTAACATTTTGAGTTTGTCATGATAGAGAGTAATGTTTATTTCATATTACGATACTTTTGGATGCTCGAGTGGGGTTAGTTGGTACATCGTAATGAGACCGCAGATTGAGTACACTCAGAGTGAGTTAGTTGGTATACTGCAATGAGACCGCAATATACTACACTCCGTTATGCATCATTATGTTTTAAATTGGGTTGATATGCCTACAATTTGCAGAGCGAACGAGTTCGGTTGTGAGTTGCATGACATTACGCTAAACCACATGATGTTGTGAGCGTCGAGACTCTATATTTATTTTATTTGTTTTTCGGAAAAGGTTGACATGCCTATATTCCATAGGGTGTTCGAGTAAGGTAGTGTGTCGCAAAATATTACGATGAGCCATAGGATATGTGAGCGCCTGTACTCCACACCATTCTTTTTGTAGAGGAATCATAGTATTGTATTTTTGCTCCCATGTTATCTACCCCCAAGCGTAGGGTATAAGGTTGAAGTTTGTCATACACGACGTATACTATATGAGATCTTTTACCGGATAATTATACTTGTTAAGATGTTAACTACCAGAGGGTAGTTATGACACGACTTGTTTTGGATGAGATTTGATAATGTGATATTCTTTGTTATTTATTCTTATTCATAAGATTTGGAGTTGGTATTTAGCGATTCACAATTTGAGATACTTAGTATATACATGAGGGTTTCCTTATTTGATTATTTCGCTCGACGTACCCATTCTCGTGTTGTGGATTTTAAAATATCAATTTCCTCTTAGTTTAGTGCATATGATTTATATTATATATGCTATCTCTTGTATTTTCATACACCTAACCCCCTCCCCCTGGGGGCGATGGAGATGTTCTCGCTAGCACTTTGACGCTCGTTGTTTCTATCTTTTTTAGGCAGCGAGTCAGGCGTTCGGAGAGTCGCAGGTTGATGGAGATTCAGTTTAGCTCACCGTCATTTATTAGTAGCTAGTTAGTGCTCCACAAGAAACTTTTATTTGTTTTCAGTCTTTAGAGATGTATTTCATGTTGGAGGCTGAGTGTCTTAGTACTCTATTCAGTTGACTCTTGTATTAGAAATTTATTACTCTTATTTCAAACTTATCAAATGTTCTACTAATCTTCTGTTGAAACATGATTACATTTATTATTGGATATCTATTATCTATATTGTGTTCCTTGCATTATTATCTTTATACTATCTACTTGTACTTGCACTTTTTATTTAATTCCACTAGAGAAATATTATTATGATGGTGAAGCATGTTATTGCACAGTGTTGGGTACATGATAGGTTTGACATCATTAGGTTCACCTTGGACTGCAGTCTTGTGTGAAACCAGTAGCGTCACAACTAGCATGTCCTAATCTAGAATGCCACAATTCAGATTTAGAAATAAAATATGACAAGTAGTTCAAATTGGAAATTATATTATTAGAACTATTACAAACTACTAAAAATTGCATAATTCATGCTCAGGTACATATTTTACCATAACATACACTATTATTTTTACCTATAGAAGCTTTGTTATTGTAGAACCTATCTTCCAGTCCTTTCTTCATCAAAGTAGGAACATAGATCAGATCGTGCCGAATTCCTGGTATGTAGAGCATATCTTTGAGGATGAGAACACTATCCCCAAGGTCCAGTCTGTATAAATCAATACCTTCTACATCGAGATATGCATTGTTTCCCATATAAATTCTCTATTCTCCTTTGTTCAGCTCGATGAACTCTATGACTCCATTCTTATCCTTTGCGATATGCTTTGTCACACCGGAGTCGATCCACCAACAATTGATATCCGTCAGCACACTGACAAATTCTCTTTTACTAGTAGCCTCTTTTTCCAGATGCTTATAGCCTCCCTTATTCTCTTGCTTTTCACCTTGTGGGCAAGCAGGCCTAAAATGCCCAAACTTCCCACAATTGTAGCAGGTTCCGTGTGGTACTTTCTTTCTCTTGAACTACTACAATTTCGTTCCTCACGGTTGTGGTTTTCTTAGACTACGATTTTTATAGATTCTAGCACTATGCCTTTGGCGGACATAATTCATCTCCTGTTACACTATATTCAGTTCTGGTTCTTACCTACTGGCTATTAAGTCTTGTTCTATAGCTAGGTACATAGAAAGATCAGTGACAGATTTAATGACAAAGTTTATTCTTAATGTGGTGGTAGCCACGACAATGGAAGGGGAAAGACTATTCAATATAGTTGCCACATGCATTCTTTCTGGAATTTTGGTCCCAGCAGTGGATATGTTAGCCATGATAATCATCTTATTAATATGCTCTACGACATTGTCTCTCTCTTGCATACAAAAAAAAATTATATTTATGCAAGAGGAGTTGAATGTTAACTTCAGAGGCAGTGTCGTACTTTTCTTTTATAGCATTTCACATGTTCATGAAAGTCTTGTAAGTATCGAAAACTTTAATCAAGTTATCTTCCATGAACATGAGCATAAGGCTTTTTGCTTTTTTATCTTTCGACTTTTACTTTTCGAACCCTTTCTTTTCTTCAGGTGTAGATTTATTAGTAAGGGTTAGAGCAGCTGTTTTATTATACCATCGATATTATCATGAATAAGAGCATACCCTATTTTCTGTGTTACATATCATAATACTACCATTAAAATTGTCAAGTTTCCCTAGTTATGATAGAACGAGTTTACTAGCCATCCAATAAAGAACGAAAACTGAAAAAATCAAAATTTAAAATATGTAAAAAGTTGACATATAGACAGATATACTGATAACAAAATAAGGTTAAATATTTTTTAACAAAAAGGGAATAAATAAATTAAAAGAACTTGATTGTTCCGAGTTGACGAAAGGAGGCTCTAATTTGGGTGAGATCGTCAATTAGCGGTGTTGATTGAATAAGAAACTCTCTGATCCGAGTTGGCGAAGCTTGTATTTGGGAAGGGTCCAGTGGATAGAGCCAAAGATAATTTGATCAGATGGTCGTCGAGGTCGGAGATGATTTGGTCGGGGTCAAACTGATCTGAACTGCTCAATTTCAAGGTAGCACCCTCTGGTTGGCATGGATCAAAGGTTAGATTGTGCTTCGTCTAGAGGTGAAAATGCTCAAGGAGAAAGATGCTATGGCTAAGCAGAAGGTTCTTTTTGAGAAAGCCTTCTGAAGAGGGGTTTTTTTTAAAAAAATTGAATAAAGAAGGAAAAAAAAGAAAAAGGACAAGAAAGAAGTCACACTCCGTTCCTTCTCTGTTGGAGGCTTAAAAAAAAGGTAGCTAGTTTTGTGGTACTTGCTTTGAGATAGGAAAAATAAAATAAAATAAACAAGTGGTTATAAGAGAAGCATCTAACTTTTCTTGTTCTTGAGATAGGAAAGATAAAATAAAATAAACAAGTGGTTATAAGAGAAGCATCTAACTTTTCTTGTTCTTGAGATAGGAAAGATAAAATAAAATAAACAAGTGGTTATAAGAGAAGCATCTAACTTTTCTTGTTCTTGAGATAGGAAAGATAAAATAAAATAAACAAGTGGTTATAAGAGAAGCATCTAACTTTTCTTGTTCTTGAGATAGGAAAGATAAAATAAAATAAACAAGTGGTTATAAGAGAAGCATCTAACTTTTCTTGTTCTTGAGATAGGAAAGATAAAATAAAATAAACAAGTGGTTATAAGAGAAGCATCTAACTTTTCTTGTTCTTGAGATAGCCTAGTTATTTTCTTCATATTCTTCTAAACCATTAACCCCACTATCTCAATCCAATAAACATCTCAATTGTTGAGACTAAGTTGAATGATTTGATCAAATAGGGAAAAATTACAAAATAGACCGTTTTTGCTAATTATTTAGCAAACTAGACCGTTTTGCTAAATAATTAGCAAAATAGACCTCTTTTTGGCCAACAGGCCAAAAAGAGATCTATTTTGCAAAACAGTTCAGAAAACATACGGGACTAGTAGTCCCGTATGTTTTAATTACGGATTAGTAAAATTTTCTACTCAGAAAACATACGGGACTACTAGTCCCGTATGTTTTCTGAGTCACTAATCCGTGATTAGTTGGCTCTAAACATACGGGAGTAGTAGTCCCGTATGTTTTCCGAGCCTTGTTTTTCAAAATCGACCTCTTTTTTTCAAAAGAGGTTTATTTTGCTAATTATTTTTCAAAGTGGTCTATTTTGCTATATATTTCACAAAAATGGTCTATTTTGCAAATTTTCACTTAACCTGACATACTCTACGACTCAAACCATGTGAGGACAGTGACTGGTCGATGGTAGATATGCTTAAGCTGTAATTGTACATATCAAAGAATTACAAAAGGATACTGATCGTTCACACGTTACATAATACTATACAACACAAGCAGAGTAAAAATAAAACCAAATAGTGAAGGAAACAGTAACAGATAATGGCTCAGAGTGCATCTACTATAATTGTGGTGCAAAAGGGACCAAATATAAGCAAAATGTCATAACATGATAAACCTAGATTAGATTTCAATCCCTCAAGAATCGGAATATAGACAATAGCTAAGCGTCTTAAGACTAAATAGTCTGTCTAGGAGAGCAAATAAGTTTCCTTATATTACTCCTTAGTTTGCTCATGCATATACAACCGATCTAACACTGGCATTGTTCTCTAGTAAGAAAGAGAACAAAACAAAACCAGATCCTCAGAATAGACAGCCGACAATCAGCCAAACAAAACAAAATAAAAAAAAGAGAGGAAGGAAATGGACAATAATAGGCAAGAAATATGCATAAACAATGGTAAATTGATACAAAACATGTCACAGAAAAATAATCGTAAACATAAATATACATAAACATACATAAAATCACACAAAAACTTACTGTGTCAGTCTCCATCAAGAAATACTATCAAATACTAGTTCACGATCTCATGAATTTACAACTATATTTCTGGTTGCTAACTCTTGCTCCCTTGCTCCCTTGCTCGTAGACTTCTATGGTATTCTATACATCGACAGTAAGTGTCTCCTTGCTCTGAACATTACATAACTTGATTAAATTATAGTATCAGCATATTTAGTTATCAGCTGTTAACTCTATATAAAACGAGAACAAGCATGCATATCACCTTTAGGCTTTTAGAAGTTCAAACAAGTTCACTAGACATTGGCTGGGAATTGAGAAGCCTTTCCACTTCATCATTAGCCTCAGCTTGTATACGCCATCTCTATACAATTTTTCAATGATCATGAGGAGAAAACAATAGTTAGTAATGTACTTAGTTTCCTTGTGAATAATGCAAACTAGAAAGTAGAACACTTGCCTCCTGAAGGTTTTCTATTTCCATCATCTGCTGTATTTGTTCTGCTATGCTTTCCTACAATTAGAAAAAGAGAATGATAACAGCTCATGATATCTAAAAGGATAAAAGCCATTAACTTTGTTTGATGAAATTAGTGAATGAGAATAATAGTTACAGCATTACTGACTGCTTCAGCAGCTAGGACATCAGAATCCATTTCCACTTCAATTTCTATCATTGAGGATATCTGTAAATATGATGGAAAATGATGCCTAGAATTCATGGAAACATAAACTTAGAGAGGTTTGGATGTTCTCGTTGAAGCCTACCTTTGCATAGCTTTCAATAAGCTCAATCCTTGACAAAAGTGAATTTTCCAAGCTTTCTCGGACCCTTTTGACTCGAGCTCTTCTAGCTCTACAAAAAGTGAGAGGTCTAACATGAGTCTTAAATCACTTTTTTAATATGACACTAGCTAGATACAAATCTAATTTAACTATCCTGGAGAAACTGAGATGTTACCGATAGGATGGTTCTCCTACAGCCACGATTTTGTTCTCCAATTGGTACATTCGAGCCAACATCCAAACCTTAAAAGCAACAAACAAACAAGAATTTAGGTGTGAAGCATTGTGTAAGAGTTTTACTATTGATCGCATGATCCAATAAATTATTTTTTATCTTAACTACTAAATCAAGTCTGTAATATGAAACCTCTTTTTCAGCAGCTTGTCTAAGGTCCTTGATACAGGTTTGCAGCAGGTCGTATTGTGATAACAGCTGCTGCTTTAGAGCAACTACATCCACTGTTCTCTGTGGAAGCTGAAGCCATAGACAGAAATGCGCAAGAATGATTCAGAATAGGATAGATAAATATTGAGAATATGTTAAAGAAATATCCAACGCTAGGATATTTGACAGGATCTACAATTCCGTACTTCTTGGAGACTTTATCTTTAGATGTCTGCACATTCATGTCAGACTCCAATTATATTTGACACCAGGGTCCTACACTAATGGAGGATAAACAATAGCTGCTAAAGTTTTCTACAAGGTGCGGATACTCGTTATTCTGCAGAGGAAATAGAATACATTGTAGATTACGTGGTACTCTATGTTTTAGAAAGCTGGCTATGAGCTAGCGTTGGTGGCCTATGAATCATAACAATGATAATTAACAACATAACTAGATGGTAAAACTCTAAACTGCTACATTATGAAGTTTATGCTATTTTGTACAAACTTTATCCAAAATAAGGTTTTCATACCCCTGCATTTTATGTTTTTGTTCGACATCTTCCTTCAAGTAACATGATGACCTTGACTGACTGAGGCATGGTAAAACCACAGCCTACCACTTATAACCACCCCCTACTACTTATATTGACTTCACCTTAATAACCTAATACACTTATAATGACTTTATTTTCTTCATAGCCTTGGTCTTTCAGGACAACTCTTGGCCTCGTTTGGTGTGCAGGAATGGGTGGGAATGGAATGTCCATTCTCACTCCCCATTCATGTGTAGCAAACACACTTCTTTTTGGAAGCTAGAATGTTCATCCCCAATTATCATTCATTCCCACTTTCAAAGCTGGAATGTCCGTCTAGCACACTGTCATTCATACGCTCTCCTCCCAACCATGACTGCTTGCGTCCATGGAGGATTGTGGCGGCTATGTTTTCAATTCTGTCGGGGTGTCGAAAGTCCTTAAGTGGAGCTTCCTTACACCTATCTGGTGGCGTGGTTTGTGATGCACTGTCCTATCCTCATGACTGCACCTTCCGCTCGAGATGAAGACCAGGCTACCCCTTTCATCCAACAGTTGGTAAACTCTTCTTGGACCAAGGGATACATGGCCACAATGAGGAACGTCGTGCGGGATCACAGCAACTTTGACTTCTTCAGGTGCTTCCCTCATGTCCCGGGGACTAACTACGACCAAACTTTTAAGGACGAGTCGAATGGCTAGGGGAACACCTCTTTGTCTATTGGTTGCTTCAGGTGGCTTGTGAACATGTCCCGGGTACTTAATTTATGGCCATGGCCCAGCGTGTTGACTGGGCATTATCTACCATGCCGATTTGCTCTTCAATTCGGCTATGACCAGCTATATGTCGGTAACCCGAATACTCATCTGCAGTCTAAATGTAGCCTCATTGATGGAGCGAGAGGGTGGTTCTAGATGGTTGTAGGATGTACAGGTGCTCGTTTCTCGTTCCCACTACAAAGTCCCCCACTCTGGAAGACCCTTGCTTATTGTAAGTGGCACTGCACCACTAATGCGGCAAATCCAGGTTTCAACGTTAACTCCTCAGGGTTACTCCTCATCAGGGGTTGTTTACGATCTAGAGATGTTCCAAAGAGGAGTCGCCTACCAGGTTCTAAAGAATTTCAACGCGCCGAGGAGGTCATGGGAGGAGAAGAGACTCAGCCTTCATGTCCCCATGAGACTTATTAGGAAATTCTCGAAGAACTTGGCGAGAGTACGCTTCGGGGGTCTCCTCATGTTGAAGAACACGAGAGTTAGATACCCACTCCCTTCTTTCCAACAATAGAGGTTGCGATGGCTGGCGCACCATCCACCAAGGCGGGAGATGGCGAGGGTCCTTTGTTTGGGGAGGATTTGCTTAGGTCTGAGCTTGAGGAATTTGCTCATGTGGGTGAGTCTTTTGAAGCTTACGGCATGACATCGCCGAGCATTTTTCTCAATCCACCGGCATCTCTGCGAGGAGCCTAGAGCCTAAAACCGCCGCCGCACTCAGAGAGGCCATCTCAGGAGCTCCAACTGAGATGATGAATATACCCAGATCTGATGAAGAGTTGCCTTCTGGGCTTGGACCTCAGGAGCCCTTGGCTACAGAAGCCTTTGAGGAAACTCTTCCAGCAACTGAACCCACTAGTACATCCGTCCAAGAGATAAGAGCCAGTAAGGAAGTCGAAACACGTTGTTTCGAAAAGACCAAGGCGGGAAGCTCAAGCAGCCATCACCCCTCCCGTGGAGCGTGTCGAAGCTGAGGCTGAGCGATGTCTCTTTGCTTCGACGTCGCGTCAAGTCACGGCCTGAACCCAGTACGAGCACTGCCGACACTCTTCTTGCTCCAGGTAAAACAGCTCTACACTTGTCATTGTCTTGTCGTATCTTCAATTATGCTAACAGTGTCTTTTTAGGGCAAATGTCCTTCCAGACATTTCTGCTGAACCTGTAGTTGTTCTCCGGCACGACTACTAAAGCTGAATTTGTGGGACTACTGATTTGTCAGCAGGAACATCACTGTTGTCACGACCATCTCCACTTCACCGATGGGAACTCAGGTCCTGAGCCTACTGATAGTTGTTGCTTCTGCTGCTAACGCTTTATCGGTGCTGCCTGCAACCGAAATATTCACTCCTCCATTGGTGTCTACACAAGCAGTGGCGTCATCCATTGGTCAACTCAAGCTAACATCATTGAGCGCCACACCTTCTTCCTCCTTTGCTCGAGGGAAGAATTACGGGGTGTAAAAATCCTAGAGAACTTTCTCACAATTTTGAAAGACTCCCCCTCTCAAGTATTGGATCATGGTGAAGACTTCGCCAGGATCAAGGTGGTGCTGGAGGCTCTCCTGAATTTGATGCAAAGTCTGACCAGTTATGAAGCTGTGTTGCTATATAGGCTTAACATGGCGAAGGTGAAAAATCTCATCAGGAGATGGTAGGATCACCGTGATCGACCTCTTCTCCCTCTAGTCGAAGAGCGAGCTAGGCAATATTTGAAGCAGAGAGATGACTTCGTTTTTGAGCTTATACGTCAAGTGATCTCAAAGAAAAAGGAAGTCGAAGAGCTCGAGGGCATCGGCGAGAAATTATCCAGCGATCGCCAAAGAGTCATTTATGCTAAACAGAACAACCAGACCCTGATGGAATCTTACAAGGCCGCTCTCACTGAGATCCAATCCAAGCTGGTGGTCGTGGAGAATGATCTGAAGGAGACAATAGAGGTGCAGCAGACGCTAGCAGCCAAATAGGAGTAACAACAGATGTCGCTTCAGGCTGAGCTTAATAAGTTAGAGAAGTTGGAGACTACCGTGAGTAGCATGATGGTGTCTTTTGATAACGAGTTGTGTAGGAAGGCGTTGGAAGAAACTAAAACGGAGCATCGAAGGTCATTGGACGAACTTACGAAAGAACTTCGCAACACCGTTCGATTCCTTTAAGCTCAATTCTTCTTATGTAACCCAACTCTTGTTGTAGCAGTCACAACTATCTTATGAATAAAATTATCATTTTATCCTTCGATTTTTTTTATTTGCACAATCAGTGATTATGACTTAGGATTTTTAACAAGCCCTCAGCTATCAACGTACTTAGTGCGTCTTTACCAATTGCCGTTTGAGTTGGACTAGCCATGGTTTTTTCCTTAGCATGGTAAGTTGTTGAGAAGTTTTTCTTAAGTTAATGCTAAAATTTCTCCTATATCCTTAGCCATTCGAGGCGTCGGATTAAGTCGTAGTCAAGTTTGGTTGTGTTGTTCAATGCAACTGGGAAATTTGAAAACGAGGCTCATTACATGATAGACCTTCTTTTTCAAGGAATGGTCATTTGTGGGAATGACCAAAGGAGTGTGATGATATCGTTAGTAAAATAACGATCTCAAATATGAATAGTGACTCATCGCTTAGTAGATCAGTATTCGAGGATAAGAGGATAGATAGGGGTACATCATTCGGTAGGCCACTATCTTGAACAACGTCACTTGCAGGAATGACGGTGTGAAAATAATGAAGTCATTCAGTAACATAGGAGTATAACGACTATGATTGAAATAGAGGTACATCGCATAGTAGGCCACTATCTTTGATCGCTCTAAAGAGATAGAACGTTCAGCAAAGATCAGGTAGTGAATCATCACATGGTATATCACTGTCCTGAACAAGTGATAAGTAGGGGCTTATCATATGGTAGGCCACTACTTGATAGAGTATTTTCAATGGGGATTAAAAAGTTGATTATCAGAGGTAATCATTAACATGATAGTTTTTTATGGACCCGTCATTCTGTTAAAGAGGATTAGTAGGAAAATTTGACGGTAGATTTAACTATTAGAGATAATCATTAACGTGATAGTTTTTTAGTGAACCCACCATCCTGTTGAAGGGGATTAGTGGGAGAGTTTGGATGGAGGTGAGGAATGAAATTTTCACATTAGTTGAACTCGTGGGAGTTGGAAGAGTTTTAATGGCTTTAACAATGCTGAAGGTCGCGTTCCTCGTTATTGTTGGGGTCAAGTATTATCGCTGCATTCATGGTGTCCGAACCTGTAGCGTTGCTCAGATTAGAAATGATCTGTTTCCCTTCAATATGAGCATAGTAGTCCTCGTTGTGAAGACTTTTACATGGAAGAGGCCGATATATTAGAAGCCTATGGGTAGTACTTCTTCAGAAATTTATCATTGATAGGCATCATAATCTTATCATCATCCTGATTGATTAGGCGATATGCTCTATTTGAGTAGACCGTTTCTACTACAAATAGTCCTTCTCATTTCGGTTCGAATTTGCCTTTGTTTTTGGAGTTTAGAACCATTGGACGTTGGACGGTGAGAACCAGGTCACCCTCCTTGAAAATGTGGTGTTTGACTTTCTTGTCAAACGCTTTGGAGATTTGAGCCTGTTAAAACTTAATATGTTGTTGAGCTTGTAATCGTTTCTCATCTAACGCTTCAAGCTCTTCAAGGCATCAGCGGTGACTCTCTTTAGTTGTCATACCAGTCACAAGCGCTATCCGAAGGGATGTAATTTGACTTTCTAATAGCAAGACGGCTTCACATTCGTATACCAA